AAGATTCAGTCTTTTGCCTTTGGTAAAATTTCTCTGTCATACCAGTAGTCCTCTGATTGTCTGTGTTACTTGAGGGGGTAATGAATGCAGCTTTCCTACAGCTATCATGGTTTATGTAGTCAGAGCATGTGGTACCTAATAACTTAGGAATTGGGAGGTCTTGGCCCAAAGGTGTTGTAATGCTAGGATCTATTTGCTAGTACCATATGTTCTTACACAGTTGTGTAAATCTGTTTTCTGCTTTGTCAATTTTCAGTATAAAATACCATGTTCTCATAAGGTGTCCTTTTTTTCTATGTTTTTATTCTCATGTCAGTTCCAGTAAACACAACATAAAGAAATTAATTAATTTCATCAGTTTAATGTTTCTGAAACGTGTCAAACAATGTAATGTTGCAGAATATTTAGAGAGGACCATATGCAAGAGTAACCATGGAAGTGAATGAATACTGACATCAGATGATAGGGAATTAACCGTAAGTAGCCCCAACCAAAACCACTTAACAGAAACCATAAAACAAAAAATAAGTTCCTAGTTATCTTTTCTTTTTTTCCTTATTATTCTTAATGCTAGGATACCTATGTCTTGAAAAGCACTCTGGAAAATAGTAAGTTGTCCTGGGTTCAGCTACAGCAGTCATTTCTTCTCCTTCTTAGTAGCTGGTGCAGTGCTGTGTTTTTGACTTTCAGCCTGGGAACAATGCTGATAACACCGATGTTTTTAGTTGTTGCTAAGTAATGTTTACTCTGACCAAGGACTTTCTCAGTCTCATGCTCTGCCAGGGAGGAGGGGAAGCCAGGAGGAAGCAGAGGCAGGACACCTGACCCAAACTGGCCAAAGGGCTATTCCATACCACAGCACGTCATGCCCAGTATAGAAACTGGGGGGAGTTACCCGGAAGGCCCAGATCGCTGCTCGGGTCAGGCTGGGTATCGGTCGGAGGGTGGTGAGTGGTTGTGTCCTCTCCCCTTGTTATTCCCCTTATCATTATTATTGGTATCAGTAGTGGTTTGTATTATACCTTAGTTACTGGAGAGCTGTTATCTCAACCCGTGGGAGTTACATTCCCCCCTCCGGGAGTGGGGGAAGGAAGGAGCGGGGCAGGGAGTGAGCGAGTGGCTGCGTGGTTCTGAGTTGCTGGCTGGGCTTGAACCACAACGTAAGTATACTGAAATCTGAAACTTAAATTTCTCAATGGAAAATTCCAAAATAGAGAAGGAAAAAAAAAGGGGGGGGGGGGGAGGAGGAGGGGAAGTGGGATCCAGAAAAAAAAAAATCCAAAATTCCAGTGCAGTGTATTTTACTTTTCAGCAGTCAAAATTAAATTGCATGATTAGTTGTTATGTAACTAACTCAAAATTTTAACATATTTTAAGCATCCTGTGGAAATAAAATAATTGATAGAAAGTTTCATGGCAAGAATTCTGATTTGCTGGCTGGTTCTACCATTTAAGTCTTTCTGAGATGCTAGTAAATGAACTAAATGTTCTTTGATAAAAAACTGTGATACTCAAATGTCATGCTATAAATCCTCGATTAGAACACAGTTTGTCCATGTAAATTATTAAGTGTGTAGATTAGTGTAGTTCTGCTGTATCTCTTATGCATATTTCACATATAGAAGACTTTTACTTGGCATATTGGAAATGCCGTGAACCAAAAATTCACTCTGCATTAAAATTAATAATACAGTAAATGTAATTACATGCCATGTTTGAGAGCTGACTCCAGCACTTGAGTAGCTATGGGGTGTAAAATACTCAAAGGGCAGTTTTAATCGGTTTGTTTTGCATTGCCTTGATTTTTGAAGTTGATCTATTTGCATTGTAAAGTTATCAAAATCATTCAAATGGACCAAGATCATTACAATTTTCTCATTCTTTGTTTTATAGTTAAAAACTATAATATAAATTGTCGAGCAGAGTTTAGGAAAGTTAAGTTAAAGTGGGAAGAAAGCGCCTCATCTGAGAGCAGATACGGGATGTGTCTGATGCTCAAAATGTGCCGTATGTACCTGCCATTTGGAAAGGAATGCAACTCACAGGAGCAAAGAAAAATGTCGTTTTGTGTCATATTGTGAATAACAGTGTCTGGTACCAGATGCTGCAACAGCAAGTTTTGTTTTATTCCTGTAAGAAAAGCCGAAGAGGTACTATCTCCTTTTCTTAGTGCTTTGTTTTTTACACCTTAATGAGCTTAGAAAATTATTAGTTTTAGTGTGTCTATTTGGCTACTTCTACAAAAAGGAAAAGTTCATACATTCTCTCTGTCATGTAGTTGCCACATGCATCTTCCTGTTAATGTTATTCAAGCTAATCTTTTACTTGTAGCTGGCACTTCCTCATGTTCTCCCTTATATATGTATATATACACACACGTATTTTCAGACATATATATGTGTGTCTGTGCTTGTAAAAGCGTCATATGCTGCCTCTGAATCAGTCACGTCAGCATCAAAGTTTACTCGGAGTAGCACTGCATGGACAAGTCAGAAATAGATTAAAATAGTATTTGCATCATTAACGTAGCTATGTTATTTCTGGGACCTTTGGTGGTATTTATTGTGCAGGGTAATAAATCAGAGGTTAGAGGGCAGGTCAGGTATCCCTAATGATGTTGCTGTGCTCCATACCCTGTGATTCAATTCTAAAAGTCTTTCTTTTAAACCAAAGAAGGGTAATTAGAGAAGAGAACGGTATCACTCTATTTCACCTGTAATGGGAGGGGAAATTACAGAGGAGCAGGGTATCCCAAGTTAATATATGATTCTTTATGCTGACACAAATCAGAATCAGCTGGTGCAAGGATTGGTAAAGGAAGGTGGTGTTGCAGCAAACACAGAAATCCCACAAGTCTGAATTGTGATGTTTAGTCTTGGTTCAGGACACCATTTTCATCTAATTGTTGTGATAGGACGCTTTTGACCGTGTATTGCCAAATACATCATAAAAAAAAAAATCTTTTCCACAGTTCTCTGTTGAATTATTGGGGGATGGGGGGTGGGGTGGGGAGTGGAAATCCATTACCCAAGAGAAAAGCACAATACAAGGTTTATAAAAATGTTAGTTCATAATATGGGCAAATGTATGTATAGATTTCACCTAAGTCTTTCATGGATTGAATCAAAGTCTCAAGAGGGACTTCAGCTAAGAATGAATAAGCAAATTCTTAGATACTTGCTGTTGTACAGGCACTGATAGTTGTTGACATAATGACGTTTCAGTATTACTCTAAGACATAAATAGGAGTTTCACAGCGTTGTTCAAGTTAATGAAGTGTGCTGAAGGCTATGCCACCAAATATTATGGATTGCTACATGATAAAGGAAAAGCTGAACTAGAGTTTATTTTCCAGAGCATCACTGTGAAGCTCTGCTAACTGTGGTATGAGCTCATCAGATTGTAGCTTAGACAGTTACTGGTAGACCTGGAAAATGGTCCTCATTTGGAAGTGGTACCTGTTGACAAGGGCAGTGGAAGGTATACTGTTGCCGAGGGAAGCATACATCCAGTGCCTTTCCTGCTTTTGTCATCTTCCACACTATTATTTCTCTTGTCTTATGCCAGCTTCTCTCAAACACATGAAATGGGAAAACAGAGTTCTGGAAGGGGTATCTGCTTGCTCCAAGAACATCTTTGTCTTCTCCAGTAGCTTAATAGTGAAGGTGAATAGGCCTCCTCACTGCAGATCTCTGTTAATCTGCTTCTGCTGCTGATGTGACTAGCAGTACTGTACAACATTTCAGTCAGCCTGCTACTAATCTGATGGTCTTTGTGCTACAGATGCTTTCTTTGGTCTTGCATGCTTTTTCTACCTTCGTTGTGCCTCGTAAAAGAAGCCATCTTTTCCATCACTGACTGGCTGTACAGCTGCCTGTTAGGTTCTCGTGAATGAGTTAGGTGCTGATGAATGTTGGCTTGTACAACTACACTTAATCAAATAAGCTCTCGGGACACCCTTGAAGCAGTTTCTCTGTCAACCCTGTTTCCTCTTTTCACACTTCAGCATAGGAAAGCAAGTTGGATGTTCTTGTGTTACCTGCCTAAATCACATCTCTGACATCTTCTGGTAGGGCTTTCATTACTATTGCCTTAATGGACTGTCCTGGGTTCAGCTACAGCAGTCATTTTTTCTCCTTCTTAGTAGCTGGTGCAGTGCTGTGGGTTTGACTTTCAGTCTGGGAACAGTGCTGATAACACCGGTGTGTTGAGTTGTTGCTCAGGAATGTTTACTCTGACCAAGGACTTTCTCAGTCTCAGGCTTTGCCAGAGAGGAGGGGAAGCCGGGAGGAAGCAGAGGCAGGACCCCTGACCCAAACTGGCCAAAGGGGTATTCCATGCCACAGCACGTCATGCCCAGTATAGACACTGGGGGGAGTTACCCGGAAGGCCCAGATCGCTGCTCGGGTCGGGCTGGGGATCGGTCGGCGGGGGGGGAGCGGTTGGGTCCTTTTCCCTTGTTATTCCTCTTATCATTATTATTGGTATCAGTAGTGGTTTGTATTATACCTTAGTTACTGGAGAGCTGTTATCTCAACTCGTGGGAGTTACATTCCTTCGATTCTCCTCCCCATCCCTCCGGGAGCGGGGGGAGGAAGGAAAAGGGGGGGAGTGAGCGAGGGGTTGCGTGGTACCAACTTGCCGGCTGGGCTTGAACCACGACATGGACATAGAAATGAAACTCCAGAAGACTGTCATGGGTGTCTTTGCCGTACAGCCTCATCTACAGTAAGATGTGCAAGTGTCTGTGCTAGAAGTGCTTGTAGTAGTTTGCAAATTATGTACTTAACTTATATAATACATCAGGTATTTATGTCTAAATACCTTAATTGTGTTTCGAAGGCATACCTAGGTAATGAAAGTCACCTTTCTGAATTAAAGCAAGCTGTGGAAAATATATGTTTATATTATGTGGTTTACTTTCTTTTTTAGCATAGTTTGAAAGTTCTATTTAGCACCCAGGAGAAAAACATTAAACAGCTTTGCATTTTGTTTTTCAGTTTGCAGTGACCTGGAATTCAGGGAGGTTGCAAACAGATTGAGAGACTGGTTTAAGGCACTCCATGAAAGCGGAATTCAGAATAAGAAGACTAGGATTGTTCAAAGGCCTGAAAGAACCAGTAAGAAATTTCTACTTGTCTTATTTGATGTGCTCTTAGATACTTTTTTGTCATTTGTATTTCCATTGCTAAAACTTGCCTTGTTCTTATATGTTTTAAGTAGTCATGTGTATCAAAACCAGAACTTTGTGTTTTTCTAAAGTTGTTTTCTTATTTATGGCTTAGTACTGATATAGGATGTTCACTTTAAACTTTCAACATTATTTGGCAGGAATCTTGCTTTTAAGAATGTATGGCAGCTACCATTCACAATCCGTTCATTTGTTAATATTATCAAATTGTCTGTTTGATAGAGCTTGATAGAGCTTGATAATTAGCTGTTGAATAATGAGACAAAACAGAAGAAACAAGTGGGGATTTTGAGCAACTTTTCCATAGAGGAAAGTGATTTCCTGAATGGCTAGCCCTAAGAAATAAGGTACAGGAGCTGTAATTATGTGTGACCCATCATTGCTAGCTGATGCCACTGTAGATATTGGCACAGAAAAACTGATACACGGAAAAGAAGCTGGTAAGTAAAAAGGAATTCTTATGGATATACTTTAGATTGGAAAAGACTCAGGAGTACTAATGAAGTGGAAGGAGTAGGGGACATAATTTGTTTTTAACCCCCTCAAATATTCAATTTTGTTTGGTTGGTTTTTGTTGTTGTTGTTGTGGAAAGTAGTAGTTTTAAAATGCAGTTATCAAAGGACTTATTTAAAAAGCAATTGAAGTGTGCAATAATAGTTTCAAGAGTGGTGTCCTACTGTGAAGGAGAGTCAAATTAGATTTCATAAGCCATAAAAATCTCCCTTTCATTAATATGAGGAGAAAACTATAAATTTCCCCAGAGTGTGTTTTACAGAACTTGGCCACCACTGCCTGCTTACCTTAGTGCCTTCATTATTGGCTTATTAAGTATTTGGAGGTTTGTTTTGTCGGGGTTTTTTAGCTTTTTTTGATTGCTGTTTGTAGCATTACTTTCAAGAAATCCATCTATTTAATTTAATTGGAAATGTCATTTCATTGTGTGATTTTTTTTATGATAAGGAAGTAAATAATTCTGCAAAACACAGTGAGTTAAAGATGACTATGAGTTATCTGGGAATACTCAACCTTGAGAAAAATGTTTCAAAGGTAAGATGGTAATACAGTAATGTCACTTTTTATTGATACTGAAAAAAACATGTATAAAAGCATGTATTTACCATTTACATTCTGGTTGGTGCCCGTAACTGGCATGTGATCTGCTGCTCATCCAGGAATGAAAACAGCAGAAATACAAAGTTTGCAGCTCTTAAGTAAGCATTTATTGTATTGTAATAACTAAAATCTAGTCTATCTAATAATATAGCTAGTGTTGGCACATTGCTCAGTTAAAGGTTAGATGAAATATTGCATAGGGTTCTGTTCCTTGCTGAATACTCGCTTTGTTGGGGGTAACACACTGAATAGCTCTTTAGAAGCTTGCTAATACAGCAAAAGTTCAAAAAGTAGTTATGGCAATGATAAAAGAAGTAACTGCAAAAAAAAAAAATATCTTTTTTTTTTTTGATGGTTACGAGTAGTCTTTTCAGGGACTTTTTTTGTCAACAGGTAAGGAAATATAATCAGTGCGGAAAAGTCTGTTTCCATTCTGCTACTGACTTTAAATTCCCTGTGAACATGGTACTGTCAGAAATGTTTGACTTACACTTGTAACAGGGTAGCAGAAATTAATCCTAAACAATTTCAATGTTGTACAAAATATTATCTGATTACTGTGCTGATTTTAATTTATGTGTTCCGTTTCAAAGAGGTATACCTCATCAACCTTAAAATAGAGGTAGCAAGAATGTTACAAGAATGATGAAAAGTTTGCTATTTGTTATAGGGGTGCTAGGGTGTAAACATGGAAGTTTGATGTTAGGCTTTGGCATGTTTGTTTTCTTTTTCCTACAACAAAGCAAATAAAATTTTAGAAGATGTTTACATGTGAGTCATTCGGTTTGTCCTGTCTTTTCTTTTTCTCTTTAAAAAAGAGTGTTTTGAAAAAACCCAGAATGTTTCACAAAAACATGTGGAAAATAAAAGTTTAGTGGTTTAGTCCTGTGCACAGTTACTCAAATTGCTTTTGTTTAATTGTGAAAAAAAAATTTCTTTTGAATAGAGTAGAATCTATTTGCACATTTACTTGATTTTATAAATAGCCTATATTTACTTGTTTGAATTACTTTGACAGGCTACTGCAAAAAGGCAGTCCATCTACAGACAGAAAGTGATCGAATTTAATATATATATGATCAGTAGTAGTTTTCTTTCATTTGTGAATTTGGGAATGCAGAATTGTTTAAAAAGTGCTTTCATGTAACTGTACTTTTTTTCTGGTATGTACATTTCTCAACTTTGAAATTTCTCACTTGAGGCAGCAAAAGATACTGCGTCTTATGATAAATTAACATGTCTGTAGTTTAGAAGAAAATATTAGGTCACTATGTCCCTGTAAACAGACAAGGAAACTAAAATAATGATAACCATTTAACATAGTAATGTCCTTTCTAATACCACTAGGAAATTCTTAAAACTGTTCTTCAAGAGCTGAGCTCTTGAGTTATCTCCCTAATGAAATCCCTTAAAGTCAGTCTCCAAAGTCATAGTAGGTCCAAGACATCAAGTGCATTAATTTTTAAGTATACCAGGGAGTCCAGCCCCTGTTTTGGGCATGCCCGAGAGCTACACCTAGAAAGAAATCTTGCAAAGAACTTCTTAATCATGTATAACAACCTTATACTTAGCACATGGGACATAGCAATCTGTACAGAACAACAGTTATGACAAAAAGCCACCTGAATTCAAGTTCCCCTTTCAGAGTTCTAATGTTCATTACCCTTGGGTAGTTAAAAATCTCTTTTGGCACCCTTTCTCCCAGGCTGCCCTTTAGTCATAGAGTTCCTTCTTCATTTAAAAACCATTCTGCATTTTAAAAAGTAGTTTGTGTCATCCTTTCTGGTTGTCTGTTTGCATTTAGGATTTTTTGTATCTCAGTCTCACTTGGGGCAGGATTTATTAAAAGGCTTGAGCACAGTCCTGACCAAGGTAGATGTGGTGCAAGTTTATAGTACCTTGCTGGTGCTTTTCAGAGTTGTTCCAGGTATTAAATAGTCCACATTGATCTGTACAATCATTAATATTATTTCTAAACAAACCAAAGAATAGTGTTTAAGTTGTTCTGCTAGAGCCATCAACACACTGATAACAAGTTAAAAATGTAAGGTGACTACAATGTTGTGTTTTTACAAGAGTTATGTAATTTTGTGTGACACTTTTTTTTTTTTCCAAAGCTGAATCTTATTAGTAATACAGACTAGAATATTTCAAATAACAGGGTTTTATTTCTGAAATTGAATTTGCATCCAGAGGTATTTGGATCGCATATATATAGAGGTATCATTACTATAAATGCTAATATAAACACATAAATCTTGTCTTCAGGCCATTTATGGTCTAAATAGAAGACACGAAGGGGAAAGGACACTTTACCCCCATTATTATTCCCTTGTGGGTGATGAAACAAATAGTTGAAAAATTACGAGGTTTTACATACCTCTTTAAAGCCTTTTAAAATATTTGTTTTATTTCCGTATTAATTTTGTGTGATAAAACTAGGGAATTAATGCATCAAATGCAGAGCATAAAAGTAATATTGTAGGCCCACAAATATTTCTGATAACAGGCAGTCTATTTCTGAAGAGCACTTGTGCACCTTGTTGTATTAGAAGATGAAAGACCAGAGGCCAAAGGTAATAGTGGATCTTCTTATGGCTTGGGAATAATATAATTATTTGGAGTCTAAGACACTAGTAATTTTGAAGATAACATAAAAATACAAGAAGTCTGAAAGAAAATTACTTGTAATTGGCTTGTCTAGAACTAGCATGGTGAGATATTATTATACTAAATTGCCAAATACCCTTACAAATTTGCAGAAGGAAAAGACTAATTTTGTATCGCGATGTGTAAATAAAATTAAGAATTTCAGATCTTTGCTTGGAGGTTTTTACGTCATTCTGACCATCCTAAGTTCCTTATCAATGAAGAGACACAGCTGACATTATGTGGAGATAAATTAAATTTCCCTGATCTTCATTGCTGAATCATATTTGGAAACCCTGATGTACAGCCAGAACTCCTAAGCAGAACAGTAAGATTTTGCTTACTCCTCTCAGTACCCTCCCACACAGTCATTTTATAGTTACAAAAGATAAAAAGAACTGCCATTTTAAATATAGTTTTTGATATCTTGAAAATGTTGACTGCCTGAGAATTCAACTACTTCCTGAAATTACCTCAGAAAATGTCTTGTAAGCTGTATTGCAAAATTGTACAGATTAGTAACCTGAACCATAGTTCTAGTTTACTAGAAATACAGGGTTCTTTCTGCATAAGGTTAGCATAAGCTCAGGCATCCTTACAGCAAGAGTTCAGAAAAAGAAATCCAGCCTAGAAGTAGTTCTGAGCAGGAATTTTAAATTAATGCATCTTGGCTAAACTTCTTGAATTAGCTTTTGAATTAATTAAGTCAGTATTGTTGACTGAAGTTTGTTTTGACTCAATCTTTTGTACAGTATACACAATGAAACGTATATAGGTGTTTATTGTAGCATTTTATTTTATTTCTCCTTCCTCAGGTCCCTTCTGTTAATAAAATGGTCAGTCTCATGTCCCACTGTATACATTTCATCTGAACTGTCAGTCTATTAGGAAACTGGTAGCCTTCAGCAATAAGAATCATCTTGATCCCCTACCTCATAAAATTCTCTACAACACTTTCTGGAAAAGGAGAGACTTCTGGATGCCAACTTTCACAGGTGTTTAAGGGATGTTGCAGCTGTGCTTTTTTTATTTCCCTTGCACCTTTTGTTGTAAAATGAGAGTCAGTTATCCTAGGTTTATAGCAAGACCTTTGGTACCTTCCCTATGCCTTGCCTTAACCCAGGCTCTGCACTAACTGTGTTAATCATAGGGAGCACAAATATATTACAAGTTTAGACAGGTGACAGAGAATGTTATGCCTAATGCTATGTCCTCCTTGGGCTGGTATGGAGCCAGATGAGTCTCACCTAGGTCAGCACTTCTGTGAACAGCAAATATGACAGAAAGCATTCACGTCTGTTTAGTCCTCTCTTCAGTTTAGTCTTTCTGGCTCAGGTCTGTCCTGATACAACTATGTTAGGAAGGAAAACTTGTTCCCAGCTTGTGCATGGTAGGCCTCAGCTGTGAGATGCTATTAACTGAAGGTTTCCTGATAGCCAAAATATTAGACAAATCCATCACAAGTAAAAATATTCTTGCTATGCAGCTTGCATGCTGAACAATTAAAAGCCATGGTCTAGATGGCAGGACTGTAGCAGAGTGCATGTGTGTTTATTCACGTCTGATTTGTCAGTGTGTTTTATTGTACTGGACAGTGTACTGGTATTGGAATGAATCATGTAGTTTACTTCTCTTGGCATGTTAGATAAACAGTTTTTATGTAATGCAATATGTAAGCTATATGTATGAATGCTGTTTTGATTTCCACGTAATATCAAAATCCATCTTCCTCAATGTGCACTAGAATTTATTACTCAGGAGTTTACTAAGCAGGAAAACAATAGTTTCACCTTGAAAAGCAGATTATATTTACTAAGAATTGAAATTTTCCTCCCAAGAAATAATCAGAACACAGGACCATTTCTGAGGAAATGTTTTGAATGCTGGTGTGTTAAGCCACAGAGGAGTTTGTGTAAATGATAAAAAACGTATGTATGTATCAGATGCAGTTAGTATCTTCTACATAGGCAAGAGGCCTGGTGGTTTCTGAATTTCCCATCCATATCCGTATGCAAGTCTTTATCTACTTTACAGTTGATGCAGGAAAACCAGACATGAAGTCTGAGCTCTGGCGATGGGAATGATTAACTGTTCCTGATGACTCTTTTTCCAAGCAACAGTTTAGGAAGATGCAATCTGTATTAGTAGGCCTGATACTGGCAGCTGGCTGCTCTTAGCAATCATCTTTTCCATAGCCTTCTCCGAGTTGTAAAGTACATCAGGTAAAGATAAAATACCATAACTTTCAAGACATTGATGAGGCTGAATATCAAGCTCCTTCTTCATAGAATTGAGTATGTTACAGGAAGAAAAAAAAATGGATTTCAACAAGTTACCTGGGATTTATTCTCTTCTTAGTTCTGTAAACATTGCAAGCCACTTAAGTTTCACTCTTCTGATTTATAATGCTACTGAAATTCCTCAACGGAATTATTTTCCAGGAAGTCACTGTAGGTCATTTATTACTGTACATAATGTGTGTGTTACAGGTATAATGTTTGACAAGAAAACTCATGTTTCTAAATGCTTTGAGACTGATGGTGGGATTAATTATTTTAACAGGTTAATTTAATACTATTTTTAAATGAAGATAACACAATTTATGCGTATTATTTCAGTAGCATGCACTGTTGATGTACTGTATTTATGTACCACTGGAGCAGTTTCCATGATGCAGCATTCTTTTGTGGTGGCTGAGCTCAGCCCCTGCTCTATCTTTCCTGCTATATGATTATTTTCTTTATTTGTTTGTTTTCCTCTTAGGATTTGATACCAGCATCTTGCCAATTTGCAAAGACTCCCTTGGCTGGATGTTTAACAGGCTTGATACGAACTATGACCTGTTGTTGGACCAGTCAGAACTTGGAAGCATTTACCTTGACAAGAATGAGCCATGCACAAGAGCGTTCTTCAATTCTTGTGACACATACAAGGACAGTTTGATATCTAACAATGAGTGGTGCTATTGCTTCCAAAGACAGCAAGGTAAAAGATAAGAACAACCTGCATATGTATGTGACTGACGTTTTTGTAGTGCTTTTTTTTTTTTAACATTTTAAGAAGATTACTGTGAACTACAAGCTCTTAAATGCTGTACCATGAATTTGTGTTGAGGTTTTTTACCTACCGTGAATACCTAAAATGAATAAAAAACAACCAACCAACCCAGGCTAAATGCAAAGGCTTGCTAGGAATTCACAGATTCTAAATGAAGTGCAAAAGACTGGCTAATGCTTTTACAACAGTAGTTTCTTGTAGGAACTTCCAGTAAGTATGCAAAGAAAAGAGATCAAAATAAAGAACAAAAGTACTTAAATGATTTCTTTACCAATCTACTTGCCTACATTGTAAACTTTTTTCCATTGCTGTAAGAGGGTATATTAATGTTCTATTTTGTGAGTCTATTGAAATAACTGAATGAATATTATGGGTAAAGTTATTTCCAGTCATTTGTACCTAAAACCAATTCATTTTTACTTCTTAGATGAATTTCTTGCTAACATCCTGATGTGATTCGTTTAAACAAATAAACACAACCTAAAAGCATTAATTTTTATGAGGATCATATAACAATTATAGATCTAGATGAGACACCACATAAATTATGTAATCAAACTAGTTGCAATCAAAGAATTTAGTCATTAAATATTGGCTGAAACTGGATAGAATGGCCCCTTCCTTTTTCTTACTAACATGAGATTTTCAAAGGGATAAACAGCACAATTTTAATTTCAGTTTTTAGATCTCACCTGTGTCCTTAAAAATCTCATGATAAATTCCCATTAGTGCTCAGCATCTATGGTTTGATTCTGATTTCTGTGGAAATAAAGATTTTTATCATGCCCCCTGTGCCAGTTGAAATTGAAACAAAAATAAAGCTGTACTTCTGTAGATACATACTAAATAACAAACTTCTTTGGTAATTTTTAAAAAATTAACATTCAAAACACCTTGTTTGTTTCATGGTAGAACACTATTTTGGCTTTTATTTTTATAAGCATGTGTGTACTGCTAACAAAATTAGTAAATGGAAAATAACCCATCCCAGAAATAAAGTAGTTTTTAAAGTAAGGACCATAACATGTTTTGTTTGATTGTATTTAAGATAAAAAAGAAAAATCACTAGAGTCATTTCAGCTTAATGTATAAGCATCCTTACTCTTTGGAGGCCAGCATAATTCTTTTAAATTGTCAGAGAAAGCACAGCACATAAGATGTGGCCTAGTACGGGCCAAGGTTCTTATACCATTTGGCTCTCCTACCAATTTGATATAATGCAGATACAGCATAACCAGGGCATTAAGAAAGCACTTCCACAGATGAGTTTCAAGTAGTTTTGCATTCTATAGCCTATAAATACTGTCTGTCTAAAATACTTTCTCAGTGTACCACTAGAGGCCAATGATGGTATCGTAAAGACTAATCTAAAACACTACTAAATTATATTAATGGTACCCTGAAGGCCAAAAATCAGGGATCCGGCTTTCAGTGACACTGATTTTCCCCATTGCAGAATCCAACATTATCAAGCTTTTCTTCCTTTCCAGTTTTCTCACTCTCTTAACCATGTTGTTGTGATAAGGCGCTGATCTAAACGGATTAGATAGCTTTTGATACCACAGTGTGTTTGAATGTATAGTAAAAAATATGTATACTCAAAATGGTAAATGAGGTGAAATCTGTTTTGCCCATTTTGCCCATCCTTACACATTAAACATGTACTTCATCCTTCCAGATAAACACTGACAACAAACCTGTATTATCCCTCTTATTCAGAGATGTAAGGAGGGAAAAAGAGCTTATAGTCTTTTGTCACGTATTATTCTCTCTTTCACAACTATCCGAGTCCTGACTCCCTCATGTATTAGTGACCCACTGAATTCCCTGTGTTCATGCTTGGTTATGATTTACTTGATTGAACAACCTAAATAAGACCTTTAACTAGACCTTTGCTATTAATAACAAAGAGATGGCTAGGTAGAGAAATTCAGTGGCTTCTTTCTGATGTTGACAAAAATAAGTTGATACTAACAGAATGCTTCAAGCCATTTAGGCAGCTCTCTGTATTCATTGAGCATAGTAGGTGCTTTCTGGGCAGATCTACAATTTAACAGCACTGCCGTTGATTAACAATCTTCAAAGTGAGTACAAATTTTAGTCAACAAGATGCATCATACTGGGATAGAAGTTCCGTAGTGCTTTTGACCCTCTTGCTTTTTGATCTTAGCTTCACAGTTCAAGACTGAGAATCACACAAGCACTTGCAACTCTTCGCCATTCTTTCTTTCTGCTGGAGGTCTGACATGATACATTGCAGTACACTGGACCCATTACTACACATTATTCACAACTTCTAGTCAATATAAACAGCTTCTCATGAATACTCAAATCAAACTATTCTTGCTCAGAATAAGATCTTCCTGTAGTAGCTGTCCCACCTTAACTAAAGCTTAAACATGTACCACACAGTTGTGCTCATTGCATTTTTTCTTGGCATTATTCTGCTTTAAGGGTAGTTTAGTATTTATGAGATACATCCAAGACACTAATTAATTTCTGCAGTACTTCAAGATCTGTGCTTTGACAGCGCTCTTTGCAAGTCTTCCTGTACACTTTGGTCAGTATTGCCCTTCAGTTTCAACTGCAGTTCACTTCAGCACCCCTTTTCAGAACTTTTCTTAGTTGTTTGATGCTAGCTTAACATTTTAGTGCTTATCTGAGTGCTGAGGCACTTGCAGTGTTGCTTTCTTATGGGTTGAATTTCTTTGTGCCACTACTTGATCATTGTTAAAGCCTCGGTTTTGTTGCATCACTAGGAGAGTACACATTTTGCTGGGAATATTAATTCTTAGAACCTGAGTATTTCTTTACTGCAGGCCTCTGCATGGATCTGTTAGTCCAGCACTTCTCTAGATGCCTTTTTCTTTCAGGCTCTTCTGCCTGCAAGGCTGGAATGCATCTATATGACTTTAAAATTAGTCCATCTTACAGAAGAATGATAATTATTGTGATTCATATTTGTTACAACAGTCTTTTCAGATTGCAGGACTTCAGATATGCTTATAGATGGTTATAAAGTAAGATGTGATGCCTTAACACATAACTGAGATCCCCAGAAAGATTTCTCGAAGTGCAGAATTGATGCTTCAAATCCCTAAAGTCCAAGCCTTGGTTGTCCAAGAACAATTATACTACTTGTTCCCAAGCACAGGCAAGGCACAACATGGCAGCTTAATCTGTGGTGGGCTACATGCCAGAAGCTAAGGGCTCAAATGAATATTACCTACTTGATAGATGGGAAATCACACTTTTTTAATTGAATAAGGCAAAGAACCTATGAATGCTGGAGGTTCACTGTGTGGGTAGCAGTTCCTTGAGACATGTCTATTAAAAATCTTAGACATTCTTTGTCAGATCTACTGGTTTCACTCCCATTGCTCTGTTAATGTGCCTATTTTTGGTAAATCAGAGCTTAATAGTAGTAGCCTTGCAGCACCTCTTGACACGACTGAATATTGATTTCTCAAGGGGCAGTATTAATAACATGGAATAGTCTGGTGTACATCAGTACTTCGAGCACTGGTGGTTCATGAATTATAACAATGCTGTGTTACTGTCAGAGAGACAATTCCTGCCACATCTGTGGAAGTAGATTAAGGATGAAGATGATTAGGTCTCTTATTTGTCTTCAGATCATCAGAAAAACTGATGTCAGATTCATTTCTGTTTCAAAGGGAGCCATCAGACTGATTTTTGTAAAGGAATTCTTTCTCCTTGGCTCAGGACTCCCAAAAGCTGTCCAGTGACACTGGTTTTCTATTGAAATAAGTTTAGAAATCTAAAAGAAAGCTTTTCCAAACTCAGGAACTAACTGGAAAGTAAACAAGGAAGCATTATGGTCTGAGGAGAGAGGAAAAAGGATATGCTGTGGACCAAAAGGAATTGGTTGAACTTCTAGCCTGTCATTCTCTTTGACAGTTTTAAGAACTTGAGTGATTTAGTATTGTTAAGAGGTTTTGATGCTTTTATCCTGAGAAGCAAAGCTTAAATGTGAATCTTGAAGACCTAGCTTCTGAAAAGAAGAGAGTTCTGGGTAAGTAACATTCTCATATTGCCTTGTTAACTTTTGGTTAGCAGTATTCCTTTTTGTAATTACACCACAGAAGATTTACAGCTGTAAATTAAGATAGTTTTTCTTTAGGCATAGTCTATCATTTTTACATTTCCATGTTAGTGCTTACGTGGGCAACTCTGTGTTTCTAATTTAGGATTTCTTTTCCATATAATAAAATATATGTATTTTTCCTATTTGACTAGTTCTCCTTTAGCATATTTCCCATCTTCTTTGGAAGACAGAATAGAGTAGAATCGTTTAGATTGGAAAGGAGCTTTAAGTTCATCAAGTCCAATTGTTAACCTAACACTGACAAGTCCACCAAAATCCTAGATCCTTGTAGCCTGTGGTACATGTGTGCATAAATGATTATCATTTTTTAGATTACTGATTAATTGGAAATACCTTTGGTTTAAGAATAACTGATCCTCAGAATGTTGTACAGTTAAGACCTTAACTAACTCTTTAAATACCAGGAAAGACAGAAACTTTAGTTTTGAAAGGTAATGAGCATCCCTGGCATAATAGTGAGCATGATCATCATGAAAGCACTTCTTATAACGAGAAATGTAAAAAATCATTTAGTCTCAGCATACACTCAAAGACTAAATACTTAAAACCCAAACTCACACAATGATGTCAAGTCCCAGTGAGCTAAAAACATATGCAAGTAAACTTGGTAGTACTACTGCTGGCTCAGAATGAGAAATGCCTTTGTGCTAATGGTGTAATGTAAAATGCAGTATCAGTGTTCAGAGATTAGTACTTTGCTGTCTTTGATTCTTTCACTTACTCAGCACTAATGCGTACACATTCACTTCTTATTTCCTTCACATTCATGGGTCATACTGTGACTTGTTTTTATAGAAAACTTGTAACTGGAGTTAGCTATAACTGAAGAATGGAAAACTGAAGTTTAATTTTAATACCTATTCTGCGTCTTAGAGCCATCTAAAGTTTGGCCACTGATTTTAACTTAGTTTGCTGAACATGGGGCTTTGTAGCCATCAAACTGTTGCAGTAGAATCACAATCTTGCAGACGTCAGTGGAGAAAATTCTTATTTTGTTAGAGTATGAAATACAAAACTTGAACATGACTTATAACAAGGACAAAAGAGAAAGAATTAAAAGAGACATCCTGTTTCTAATGAATACATGAGGCGAGCTTCACAGTCATAGTCTGATTTCTGTAGTCTGATAAAACAGGGTGTGATAGAGTTACTATTTTGGTCTAATGTTCCTCCGTCTTCCAAACTAGTGACTAGATGCTTATAGCTGGGTTAACTTCTGCAAAAATCCGTGGTGGTGCTCTAATTCATAATTCTGGAGCTGTAGCAAGGTGCAGTAATTCTTTTATTTCAAAGCTTAGAACGTGACTACTAACGCAGGATGTGTGTGTTTCCTAAGTTCAGTAGTAAAAGTGACCTTGGAACATAGGAAACTGTGGAAACTTTGTCATATGCTTTCTTTCCTACATACAGTGTAATCTGTTTAACATTTTTTATGTCATTTTAGACCCACCTTGCCAGACAGAACTCAGCAACATTCAGAAGCAGCAAGGAGGAAAGAAGCTCCCAGGTGAGCCATAGATCATTCTTTTGAAGGTTGTATTGCTTACATAAATAATCCTAGTGAAGCAGCAACATAAAATCAATATTAATCCAACAAAGATAGACTGCAGTAAATTCCAGCAGCAGAATTTATGAAATTTTTGAAAGCTATTAAACTTAGTTTTATTACCTTACCTACCAAAAGATATTACATCTGTTTTATTACCTTAATAGAAGGTACATTTTTACGGTTATAGAGGGAACAGTCTAAGGCACTCCTAAATTAGTATCTCTGCTGATCCTTTACCTGTAATATTCTTTAAGTAATTGAAATCTTTGTTGTGTATCAGTATAACTTAAATGTAAAATCTTCATTTTGCCATTGGACGCTGTATAAAAGCTGCAATGAAAGGCTTAGCCCAAAGTAGTCAAAACTGTATTTCTTCAAAGGGTAGTTTCTAACAACAACTATACACTTCAAAAAGCTTTCATGTGAATGTTTTGTTCATTGTGGTTTGTCTATGTTTCATGTTTCTTTCAAAAAGTCTCCATTTGTCCCAAATGAAAAACAGTGAATTATTCAGCCTTAGGCAAGTCACTGCCTCACAAAATTAGTGCCTGATTGTGTCTTATGCTCCTGGTGGGGAACGCTTTTGGCTTAGAGCCTAATCTGCCTAGGTATTTTGCATATAAATGCAAATTTAACATTCTTCCGTTAACATTTTTTTTTTATAAAATTGGTGTGTTACACTGCATTTGTCTTCTGTTGGGGGGTGATTAAATATTAGTACATAACTAAATGGATTGTAAAATGTATGTTAAATAAAAATAGCTCCTAAGGCTTGTAGCAGATAGTTTGTTAGATCAGGAAGCCTGGTCCTTATTATTCAGACTTGTTTGTATTCCACAGATCATAGAATACCCATTCAGGGCTAGGTGCTACATTTAAGCCTTTTACCCAGCATTCAGTGAAGATCTTGACATTCAGGAAATAAGGAATATCTATCACAGCATCAATGAAAATTTTCGAGGAAGATTGGTCACTTTATATCTTGAAATCAGTCCAAGACTGATATATGTTGTTTTCCCTCCCACATTTGATATATTCTGTCACTTTCTGCTTAACTGAATTTAGTAATAGTAAACCAGTCAGTGTAGAGTCTGGAATGAGGAAAAACAGCAACATGTAGTTGCTTTCTGCTATAATCATTACATTGGCCAAGAGGCACTTTTAATATCCTTATTCGATATTTATCTATCACAGGGCAGTACATCCCCTTATGTGATGAAGATGGATATTACAAACCAAGTCAGTGCCATGGAAGCGCAGGGCAGTGCTGGTGTGTTGACAGATACGGTAACGAGGTGACAGGATCCAGAACAAATGGTGCGGCAGAATGCGGTAAGTCAAGAACCCTTTGTGGCATTTGGTTTAGAGGCATTTCTCCTTTGCTTACCAGCCAGATTAAATTTCTTCAGTGAGAGCAGATAGAGGGACCCAACTACATGGATTTTGAAACAAAATATAGCCAATAATTTGTTACTGGTATTACTTCATTATTTTTGCAACTCCTTTCACTTTGTCAGCTATTAATAGACCTTATATATGTGCTTGGCATCGTGTATATAAACCTAGGGAAAATCAATTATCTAGAACAGCATTAGACAAGCCCCAAAATGCTTGATGAAATCTCTTTGGGTAATCAGCGTGCTAGTAGATTCAATTTAACTTTTTTTTTTTTTTCAGTTAATGTTTGAGGGAATTGCCAAAAGTTCCTAGCACACCAAACTTCCTTATTTTCTCCTTCCTTGCAGCACTCTGGAGCTTCTTCCAAGAATTCCCATGTCACTTTTATTTGAGGTCCCAGATACAAAAAATGGCAAATAAAAATTTCCTCTTTTAAGGAATTACTCCTTACCTTACTCCTTTCCACTTCTCGTGCAACAAAGAACATAGCCTGAAACAAAGGGTAAATTTAACCCAGTATTTGACTTTCAAGCTCAGGCCTATTGTTCATCTAACCCAGGATCCTTTCAAGCTAAATGGAGAATTCTAGATAATTCAAGATAATATGTAAGAACTGAACAATAGACAGTGTATATTTTCAACAGTTCTTATTGTCATCTGTAAGTTGAACATAAATCTCTTTCAGTTGTTTCTGACACTCATTACAGTTCTACAAATCCATAAAATTTGTCTCTGTTTGTTGACATTGAGAAATTCATCCCTGTTGAAGTGATTTTATTTTAAGACAAAAGGATCTTCTTATTATTTATGTTTTCTTTCTACGTCACACTGTGTAGTTTAAAATAAGTAATTGTCCTGAAACTAAATATTCTGGTTTGCCCCTTTGAATGCTTATGTGTATTATACAACAAATACGTAGTGTGTCTTGTGTGCCTTTTCTAAAACTAGCATACCTTTTTAGCTATCGATATAGAGACTTCAGGTGATTTTGCCTCTGGTGATTTCCATGAATGGACAGATGATGAAGATGATGAAGATGAAATAATGAATGACGAAGATGAAATTGAAGATGATGATGAAGATGAAGGAGATGATGATGTTGATGATGACGATGACCATGATGGATATATTTGATGGTATTAGGGGGTCCATAATTGTACCTTTCCAAAATTCATAAGATGACATTTCATAAAATCCTTTTGCTCTCAAAGATCAAAAGGATTCTAACAAACATGTATATTTTGTATGATTATTTCAAACTTTACAGCTGGAGTCATAGACTTTTTTTGTTTAAATAAGAATAATTATATTATGTGCTTTTGAGTTTTTAAATGCCTTTGCGCTGAAGATAACACATTGGAAGTCTAGCCTGAAGAAAGAAATGCTATGTGCTACTGAAAATATAAATGAGCAAAACACACTATAAAGACAACTGGTCTCTAAAACTCCAGTGAAAAGATATATGCCCTTACTTGGAGCTGTGCATGACCTCTTCAGAACACATCCTGTAACTTAACTTTAATTCTGTTGGTGTTTTAGGCCCTGTGGGCTTTGCAAATTGTCCATTCAATAAATCAAAAATGTTTTACAGTGGAAGAGCATTGGTGCACAAGTAGCATCTCACCAGCCTTTAATTAACCAAAGGTATGGAGATAAATTTTCAGGAGGGGAAAAATAAAGCAAAGTCCTGCTTTGTGTTTGCTATTGAAAGGATTTTTCAAAAGCAGGAGAATGGACAACTACCAATTCTGTAATTGTAAAGTTTTCTTGTCCTTTCTTAATTTTTTTTTCTTTCATGTCAAGGTTGTATAGGTGTTACCATTATTTACTCAAACATTGCTTCACCCTTTGTTGTTTCTCTGTATTTCTGTCTAATCAGAATAGTGTAAAATATTTTACATGGGGAAAAAAATTTGCTTAAAATTATATTACCTTTATATATGACAGTGTTTCAGAGTATTGGCACTAGCCCCAAGGTAGTTTTTAATAAATGTATAATAATACTTCTTATTTTCTTATTTCAGGAAATAGTTTTGCATCTTTATCTTAATTCCTGTTGCTTTCTGTTACTAGTGCAGAAACTTAGAGAACGTATTGTAAAGGTGCCTTGCAAAATAGAAATAGAGAGGTTTTAGCATGCATACCAGTATAGGATGTTAGGCAGTAGCTAAGCACACCCAATTACCAAATTAATACCAGTATAGGTACTGCTGCTGGAATGAAGAAAATGGGTTTGGTTTTGTTTTGGTTTTTTTTTTTCCTATTGTTACGTAATTACCATGTGGACTAGATTATAATTATTGTGTAGATTAGCACTTAAGATTTGACTGTAGAGAAAATTACTTTAATCACTGTATTTATGTTAGCATGTTTATTAATTGTGTAGACATTTTAGGACTCCACCATCTTTGTTTGTATCAATCATTTCTTTTGCTTTCTGCCCACAGTAAAATTGACGTGACCTGTATAATGTAATACTACAGGTTGTGTAATTTCAAAATTGGATCACTGGTTTCCCATCATTAATTGAAAGGAAAATCAGTTTCTTATTTGGATTAATTTCTACACATTAAATACTAAATTTAATGTTTATCGTATGTAATATTGAAAAGTATAATGCATTTTCTTTTTTACTGTTTCTGTATAGTTTGCAAAATAAAGACTCTTGTAACCAACCTTTGGCCAGTATAGCCCATCATTTTGAATTTTTGCATAGTTTGAAATTTTGGCACAGGAAGAATTAGTGTTTCACCTATTAAAAAAATGTATTTGATACATTTCACCTGTTAAAAATGTATTTATTTGAATAAAGCCATTTATTAATGTTTTATTTTCCAGTAATGAATTTTTGACTAAGGCAAAACCCATAGGGAGCTTTTCCTTTTCTGTTTTTTTTCCTGACTTTTCTATAGCTTTGTTATGTACTTCTATCACATTGTCTTCATTGCATAATAAAGAGAGCGATACTTCTTTTCAAAGTCTGTCATAGTTTGTGGGGCATACTTGTATTATTTTCTTAAATAAAAGTAGTTAAGAGTTTACCATTCCGATATAGTGGGATTTTACCAGAGAACAGTTTCTTATGGCTGAAATTAACTGATATATAAATTGATTTTAAATAAAGAAGCTGAAGAAAAAATGTTGTCAGTATTGGTTGTTGTAGCAAGTACTGTTGTGCGAGTTTTTTTGTGATGTGACAAATGGCCATTAGATGACAAACTGAAAACAGATTTCGTCAAAAATTGTGCTCTTAGAAGAATTAAAGTATGGAAAGAGAATTCATAATGTGTTTAGCCTTATGTGATTACAGTATGAAGACCATTCTAAAATGAACTGTCATGTAGAAGAGCATGAAAGAAGTTATATTCTTTCTTCCCTGAAAATTCCCCACTGAACTGGAAGAGGAGAGGATATGCATGGATATTAGTCCCTGAGTATCTAAGCTACCTATCATAAAGTCGGAAGTATCTCAAGATAGCTAAATTTACTAAAGAACAGTGACAATGTTGATTGAGGGTCATTTTTGGAGAATTTCTGTGGTCCAAAACTAAACTAGCAACAACACTTGAATTGTTTCTCATTCATGAGGAAAAGCCAGAGAAGATACTGATTGTGTGAGTTTCTTTGAAAACATTCTTTCTTTCACTCGAAATGGATTAATGTTACAGTGTTGATTTGTTTTTGTGATACCAAATATAACGGAAACTACTTCACTGCAGCAATAAAGAAATGCATGAGGTCAGTAGCAGGTAGAATAAATAAAGGCAAAGGCTGATAATATAAAATCACGAAATAACTAAGCCATTGAGAAGGGTTTTACTTCTTTCTGTCATATCCAAAACTTTGCACTGAGGTGTGTCCTCATGAGTACATTCTGGCAGAAAGCAGTAGGGAGGCCTTGAGTGTAAAACTTCATTATTTTTACAGTGTCACCATCATTGGTTGTTTTTTCTTGATCTGATAATTGTGCACATATGTATGTTATTAAAATACGCAGAGAAACTGACGTAAATTTGAAGATTTTCACACAGTGCCTGATTCTTACTCTTCTGAGAATGTGTGGAGTTACGATTCTGAGATTCACTGAAAAGTATGAAATACCAAGTTCAATGAAATAAATTATTATATAGTCATCAAAGGGGATATTTCAGGTCAGCCACATAGATTTGCTTCATTGTAAAGCAAATGAATCTGCATCATTAGTTTGCTTGTTCAAAAATTGGTTTATTGTAAAAGACTGTGGAAGATGGACCATAATAGTAGTAGGAAATGTTTTGTTTTGTGCACAGGGTCAAGAACTTGATTTCTTTTATTATTATTATTATTAAAGAATTTGGTGCCCAAGTGGAATAATAAAGGTTTATGAGAAAGTGGGTTGATTTTATGCTTTGTAGGAAATTTTAAAACCCCCTGTATTTACAGGGTTTCTTCATTAGAATGGTGAATATCATTCAAATTACTAAAAGCTTTTAAAGATTAGTTTTAAATAGAGCTCTGGCAACACAAATTTGTTTGAAATACAGTAATCTTTCTTACTGTTTCTCTTCTAATCTAAATATAGTAGTAGCAAATCATCCACAATTTTATTTCAGCTGGTTCACTGGACACTAAGGAGTTGTCACCAAGTTTCTGTTTGAAGAAACAGATTGGGATGAATATGAAGAACAAGATAATGGATTGGAAGAATCTCCAACTTAACCAGTTATCACTGGGTAAGTAATTAAAATATCAAAAGTTTAAAAAAACCCGGTCTGCTCCTGAGGGCAAGTACCATATTGGACATGCTGAAGTAATAGGATAACCCCTTGTCATGAGATCTCCACTAACAGTGTCACTGTGCAGGATGGGTGCAGTTTTCCAGGTTGTTAATTCATCAAGTGAAAAGGCAGTAAGAACGACTCTTTGAAGTTAAGGAACCAGAGCAAGAATTGGAAACAGAGTTGCCTAGCCTAAAAGATGACACCTCCGCTTGAGTTTTTTGTTGTTTCAGATGCTAATTGAACCAAATCCTGAAAAAGAGGCTACTGCACAATATGTGTCTGTCCTTTTGAAGGTGAGTTTTATATATGTGTGCCATTTGTAAGAAGAATCTCCATGTTCTAACATCAGTAATAAGAGTATTTTGCATCTCTCACCAGCTTTATACATGACCCCTTAGGAAAATTTGATTAAAACTTCAGACAAGGGTATCCACAGGACTCATGCTCATGTCTGTGACCATTTTTGCCAAGATAGTTAAAATCAAGATGGACAGGTGGCGCATTGTCCCTGTCTGTCTGTAACATTCACAGCTGCTTTGAGAATTCATTCTGCAAGTCTGCTGAATTATACATGAATACACATCCCTCCAATTTGAGTCATTATACTGCTCATCAGGCAAGCACCCAGCACAGGGCACTGAGGGTGTGCTCTGTGGGTCTTGCTATTAACATCAGATACCCATTTTTAGGAAGATTCTCAAATTCCCTTTTCGTAGTTTATTTCCCTAACAGGCTTATGTCCTGACAGATTTTGGTGAGATTCAGTTGTCCACTAGACTTTGTCCCTGTGAAGAAGAGGTTGGATCTTTTCTATAATGCTTGTGATTGATTGCCATGTGCCTGAGGAGGGTGGAGAGCCACACCAAGTTTTACTGAGTTTGGGGTGTTAGAACATAGTAGGGAATAATGAAATGCTTTGTTAATTGTTTGAAAGCTAGAAAAGATTACTGAGCTCTTCTCTTCTTTCAAAACAAATGAACAAAGAAAACCAACACCACCACCCCCCCCAGCAATAGCAATCTGCAGTAAGAGTATAATTTTGCAGCCAAAATGGTTTGATTCTTTTTCCTTATTTCTCAAGAATAATGCAGTTATTTAAAAGCATACTGTAATTCAAAATCAATTGAGCATTTTGCTAAACTTCTTTGGGGCTTGCTCAGTTTTACTACACTTCTGTATATTTCATTGTGCTGCATTAGTGCTAAGGCACTGAATCATGCTTTAATTCAAAATCTATTGGATGAAGTTGTTGATCTGTTACCTAGCTGTAAACATTTGTTCTTGAAGAAAACAAAAAGATGAAGAAATCTAGGTACTATTTTAAAGATATCATCAGTATAAATCCAAACCAATTCCCTCAAAGTAAAAAATTGCTATAAAAACATCATTGGTTCATATGAGGCGTACATTTGAAAATTTAAGTTGAAATGGTTAAAATCTGTCTTAAGAGTACTTACTGCTTTAACATCTGTGGCAGCCATCTGAAAAGTACGGTTGTATCTATATAAAAGTTTATTTTGTGTTGGGAAGTTTTTGTGACAGCGTGACAGAACG